TCCGCTTAAGTGTCTTCTGTGCCCCGTCTTCCTCACCTGCCTGCACAGGTGGTGTTAGCGGTCTCAGGCTCATGTTCTGCTCCCGTAATTACACACTGTATTGAAACTGATTCAGGAAAACTGCGAGTGCACTGGTGCTCCCAGAACCCAGAACCCAGCACTGCCTCACTGTGCATAGCCTGGATATTCAAGGCCCGGTGCCCCGGTCCGACCTCAGAGCAGGGGTGTGCCTCTGCTGCTGCAGCCTTGCAGCCCAGCAAGGGCGTGACTCGTCCCCGCTCTGTTTGCAGGGCTCCATCGTGGGGGCGCTGGGGGGCGTTTCCTCCCAGTCCTATCCTCTGCCCTGCTTTCACCGTGGTTACTGTCCCCTTCGGGTAGAGAGTTGAGCTGAGCTTTTCGAACCTTGAAAAGCATCTGATTTTCTGCCTTCAACCTTTTTTCTTTTTTTTTTTTATAAAGATTTTATTTATTTGTTTGTCAGAGAGGGACTGCGTGCACAAACAAGGGAGGGGGCAGGCAGGGCAGGCAGAGGGAGAAGCAGGCTCCCCGCCGAGCAGGGAGCCCCATGTGGGCCTCGATCCCAGGACCCTGGGATCATGACCTGAGCTGAAGGCAGACACTTAACTGACTGAGCCACCCAGGCATCCCTGCCTTCCACCTGTTCGTCTGGTCTTTTTTAGCCTGGTTATAGCTTTCTTATGAATATTTTGACACAACCGCTACATGCTTAATTTGGGGTCTTATACACCTTTGCCATTCCTTTATTCTTAGACTACCAGAGACATTTTATTTTAAGGTGTATCAAATTGCATTTAATTAGTACTCTTATTTATGAACTACAGGAAGTGCTGGCCCTTTAATAGGAATATTTATCTCTTTCACGTATTGACACAAAATATTTGGCCTCACTCCTGCATAAATATCTTTATGCTGTTGCTGTATGGTGTGTTTTACCTGTCAGTACACACACACACACGCACACACACACACACACACCCTCTCGGCTCCAACTGGCGCATAGTGTATGCAGTAGTTCATGTGGCCCCCCCCCACGTAAACACTGAAACAACTCTGAATGGTGGGGAAGGCCTAAATTACCTGTTGCCATTCACCCTGATAATCTGAGCCTATGATTAATATTTGATTGTGGGGGATGTTGAGGAGCTGGGGCTGACATCACTCTGAACAGAAGGCGAAAAGGTGAGTCTCCCTGAAGAACGTCCTTACTGTGCCCCCGTCTCCCTAAGTGTGGCACGGAGCAAGGGTGTGTTCTCGGAGCCCTCCGGGGGGCCCCAGGTCCTGGCACACTCCCGGGCATCCCGCTGCCTCGTGTGCAGCTTCTGACTCTCCTTGTGGCTCTGGCATTTTTTGCTTCAGTTGATCTGGAACCTCGATGCTCCGTTTATTTCTCCTATTTCATTTCCAATCTCTCATCTTCCCACACCCATTCAAAAACTTAATAATGTGATGTAGAATTTGCATATGCCAATTTAAACTACTTTCATACCTTACCAGATTTTTTGTTTCTTAGGGCTGAAGGCTGTACATTCTTTGTGTCTGTGTGTGTAGTTGATGCGGTTCAGGTGGACTCTCGGTGGATTTAGGTGTGTACCCACCTTTGTTCCACTTACGTGCCATCGGTACCTTCCAAGCTCAGGAGGTTTGCTGACGACCCGCCTTCCCCTAGTGGTGCGCGACATGCTGCCCGCCCGGGTCCGTTCCATTTTAGCTCAGGGCTCATCTTTTCTATAAAACCTTCTCCCGACTGTTGAGACAGTGATATTCTGCGCCAGTAACATAATTCAGTAACCTGCTTTTATGCATGAGTGCCGATACCGACAGTGACCTTCCCTGTAGATGGCATTTTAGAGGTACTATGACAGGCTCAGAAAGATCAAGTGTGTCATTTGTCCAAGATCATAGAACTGGTAAATTTGGAAATTAAAAAATCAGTACAAGTCATACCTAGCCTTAACCCTGTAAAATTCAGTTGGCCATGCCTCTTCCTGATGGAGCATAGAAAGAGGGTTCGGAGAATTGGGGAGGTTGAGTGGGCCAGAGTTGATTATTGAGATAAGGGAAATGAAAGGGAAAAGGAACCTGGAGTCCTTCGGCAGTTCTGGCTCAGGTGACAGGTGGTCCCAAGCAGTGTTTCCTCCTCCTTGAGAAAGAGTAGATTTCTCTGTTTTGTTTTGTCTGGCACCGGAAGACGAGGAAGGGGGAATGTTACCCTTCATTGTATATATCCAGGTAGAGAGGATCTGTGATGAGTCTGAGGTAGGATCGTCTGCAGGCAACAGAATACACTGGTCTCAAGCCCAGGACAGAGGTCCAGATTCCTAGAAGAGACTTGAATGTTCCCCTCCACGTGCTCAGCGTTGGGAGAGTTCAGCCAGTGAGGATCTTGGTGCCATCCCTTGCCGTCCACGGTGTGTCAGGAAGAGGTGGATGGGGCGCCTGGGTGGCTTACTCAGTGGGCATCCGACTCTCTGTCTCAGCTCGGGTCTGGATTTTGGGGTCATGGGTGTAGACCCCACATTGGGCTCCGCACCCCAAAAAAGAGGTTAAAGATGTCCCAAAATGAAAAATTTGGGGGGAGATTCAGATAAAACGGTATCTGTGCCATTTCCCACAGATGACAATTTACAGGAAAAAGCTTTGATTATTTTTGATAGAACTTCTCATTAAAAGGACTTTTCTTTTGCTCAGATTAAGATCTACACATACACCTCAGTCAGGCAGGAGTGTGTGAGCCCTTTTGGGCGGCTGCGTTCCCTGGGGAGCGCTGCAGGCGCAGGGCCTGGCTCAGCCGGGAGCCCAACTGCCGCCAAGCGCCACTGCACCGTCGTATCACAGGACAGTCTGAATGCAGCAGGCAGCGGGTGGGCTGAGTGGGGTCCTGGCCCCACCGTGGCACTGAGGGAAATAGGCCTCCTGCTTCTCCAGGGCTCGGGTTCCCTCCTCCGACATTTCCCGGTGGTGCGGTGAGGCCAGGTGGGACTGTTTGGTCAGGAAGGAGCCCCCAGGAGGCGCCTGCTCCCCGGTCAGCCTTGTGCTCGGCTGCGGCGCCCCTTCTTGACACTCCTGACGCTGCGCAGAGTCCAGGGGCTCCGTTTCGGTGTGTGTGACAGCGAGGGCCCCTGTGGCCTTCTTGTTCACTTGACTGTCTAAAATGGCAGACAGCTTTTCCACTTAATTTGAAATGGATCTCTTGATCACAAAATCACAGTTGGTCAGTTAGCAATAAAATGAGCTTAATATAACTGGTATCCATTACCTTATGATCTATCTCTGTAATTCTCAAAATGGTAGGCTTAATGTTTTTTTGTTCATAGGTCATGTTACTGTAAAGTACTTTACTAGACGAGCGGAGGTCTAAATTTTAAAATTCTATAAATTAGCACATTACTAAGTATAGTGATGATAATTATAATTACTCTGTCAACTTAGTGTTTGAAGTTTGAGCTTCTAGGGATTTTTAACATTAAAAAGCAAACTATACGAACATTTGACCAAAATATACAATGCGTGTAAACTCAAGCTTCTGCTTCCTGTGTGGTATTTCAGTCTTAGTTGAAGATACATTTTCTATGATAGTTTTCACTTGTAAAGTGAACTTGTGTTTTATTTTTCCTTGAAGATTATCCGCATTCTCTGTTCACTGGCCTTGAGGGTGTGTGCCGTCAGCCGAAAATAGTCCACTGACGTTTATTTGTGACTCAGTATTTCGTGAAATAACAAATTCTTACAGCTATGTGACAATAGCAGTGGTTTTATTAAGCCCTAACTGTTCATGATTTGAAGAGAGCACTGCAGATGAACCCAGAAGGTGCTCCTTGGGTTTCCACTCCGCCCCAAGCCCAGCAGCACCCTGTGAACTCTTGAAAACTTCCTGCCTGCCTGTGGAAGTCTGTGTACTTGTCAATTAAAACTCTTCTTTCTGACCCGCAGAGTTCTTAGGATTTTTAAGATGTGAGCTTTATGGACAAATAGCTCCTTATGATTATTTTAATTTTCTTTAACTTACCTACAGACTGGACTCTCTCCACTGACTCTGAGTCCTCCACGTTGCTTCTCAAGGGTGCGTTTCTTAGTAGGTAGATCTGTATGAATTGCCGTGTTGGTCATAATGAGTGACTGTCAGCAGCTTCCCTGCATTGTGTAGGTATATCACATACCACATCTGCTATTTTCTTGACAAAATCAAATCAGGCAGAGATTTTTTTCTAGAATTGGAAGCATATCTGAATGATCTTGAGTCTGAATGTGAACGAGAGCAAAGCTGGTTGTGTGTGAAGTTGGGAGCAGAGTGAGCTCGTCAGTAAGCCCCACAGGGAGTTGAGTGCCGCTGGGGTCACAGAGGAGCCCTTCATCCGTTGCCCTGACTGTGAAACCCACATTCTGCACCATGGTCTGGCCCCTGCCACGTCTGATCCCACCTCCTGCCACTCTCCCCCACTGTGCTTCTGCTCAGGCCACAGCACCGCCCCAGTCCTCAGGGAGGTCCCTGCTCGGGAGCCTGGTATTCTGAGGGGCCTAGTCTTCCCAGGATGTGTTTGGTCCGGCATTCATCGTCCCAGGAGGGCATCCCGTTTGTTCTTGTAAAATGAGCGGATCAAGGTCATGATGCATTTTGAATATCTGTTCCGAGTGGGATGCTGCCTGAACCCCTTACACACGCACCATCTCTCCTTTGTGTCTGAGCGGGGGTACTTAACGCACATCCACCTTCTCCTCCCACGTCTGCCTCCGCACGCCCCACTGGAGGACCAGGATGAGGAGCCTGTTTACTGTCGCCTACAAACATGATAAGGGGCCTCAAAAGGTTTGTTGGCTTAAGTGTCAACAAATGCATTTATTTTAAAGTCTGAAATACAGTATTACCTACTTAGTTCCCGTGAGGTTAAAGATAATACGCCTGTATGGAAAACGTGAGTTTGAACATATCGTGTAGGTTTGGACCCTGCTAACGATTGTAATGAACCGGTTTTGTTTGGCAGTTTGCGTGTGAACTTGGACATGGGCAAAGCCGCATATGGATGGATGATCATGAAGGACGAGAGCATCCCCGGCACGGTTGTGCGGACCAGCACCATCCCCGAGGAGCTGGGGCGCCTGGTGTACTTGCTCACGGACAAAACAGGTACTGCTCCTGGTTCATGTTTGCCTTTGCGTGCTCGCCGGCATCCAGGGCAGGGTGACGATGGTGTGCATGTGCCTGTGTGCGCTCACCGGCATCCAGTGCAGGGTGACCCTGGCGCGTCTGTGTGTGCATGCATGTGTGCGTGCGTGCATGTGTAGCGGCGTATTGAAGTCATTCAAATTTAGGATTTTCCAGACTCCGCTGAACACTGGCACACAACTAACCTTCACCTTTGAATAAACACAGTATCATTAGAATTAGCAAAATGTTAAATCCTTAGAGATTTAAATGACATGTTTATATATTTTTGATTCTCTGCTGTCATACCATTCTTTGTTTTATTAGTGCGGCTTCTGGAGAGGAAATACTGCTTGCCTGTTTATTACAGGATGATACTTGTGAGCTGTTGGAACAATGTAACAAGATGTGTGTGGGTTTGGTCTTTTGACAGTAATGTTCTCCTGAAGAGCCTTACAAGTGACTATCCCACTCTCAGGTCCCTGCCCCAAATTTTATTTGCCCTTATTTCATCAAAGAATCCTTGTCAATCCTTAACATAATAAATAAAACATAAACTGAATCCAGTGAAAATCCTAGCAACAGGTGAAATCCCTTCCTGATTTCTTCATTCATAGTTTAAATTCCTGGTAATTCTCAGGGTGCCTGGTGGCTCAGTCCCTTGCCCATTGAGTCTTGATTTCAGCTCCGGTCGTGATCTCAGGGTCGTGAGATCAAGCCCCATGTTGGGCTCTGTGCTCAGTGGGGGAATCTGCTTGAGATTCTCCCTCCCTCTGCCTCTCTCCTCAGTCACATATGCTCTCTCTTTAAAATAAATAAGTCTTAAAAAATATCTCCTAGTAATTCTTGGTGAACTAGAACTAAGAATACTTGTATAATATGATAAAATATGTCTCAAATAAAATTCAACATTATTTTTAATAAAATACTAGAAAAAGCTTAGGAAAGAGAGAAATCTAACAGCCCTATTACTTAACATGTTTCATTCTGGCCATTGCAGTAAGACAAGAACTAGAAATAAGCTCTATGCCTGAAAGATGGAGCAAATATTTGTAGATGAAATAATGAACCAAGGGAATCAACTGCTAAGAGTACGAACCAATGAAGTGTCAGGTCACAGGTCAGAATAATAAAGTAGCTCCCTGCGTGTCAAGCGGACGGAAGAGTGAAGGCCCCACTCGTGGTAGCGCAAGCGCGTGTGAAACACGTGGGCATACAGACGTGAGGGGAGTGAAGGACGTGTGTGAGGATGATCAGACCTTACAGAGAAACGTGAAGGAAGACGTAAACCATTGAAGGGACAGACTGCAGTCTCCAGCGCAAGGTCCCCAGCGCGAAGATACGGGATTGCGTAGAGCCTGCCTTCACGATGAAATGATAGGTTTACTGCAGTTCCAGTCAAAATCCAGTTGCCTGTGGCACGTGGTTTTATTTTGTTTTTTAATTTAGAGTGGGTTTTTTTGTTTTTATTTAAGTAATCTCTATCCCCAGCGTGGGGCTCGAACCCACAACCCTGAGATCAGGCGTCACACACTCCACTGACTGAGCCAGCCGGGCACCCCAGCGGCATTTGGTTGTGGTCAGGGTTGGTCATTATGGCACGTCGGGGGCTGTCCCGTCAGGTGATGCTCGTAGGTCCGAAGAACTCCAAAGTAACGAGGGGCTCAGACTCAAGAAGGTAGGCTGCGAAAATGCCATCAGATTTCTCCCTTCCCATCCTCACTGAGCCGACAGGAAAAGATCCAGAGAATAAATCTCAGTGTGGGAGACACGCAGGCGTGCCTCCGCAGAGGTTGAGTTATTTCTGGGAGACAGGTGGGACAATTTTGATGGAGAAGCTGGAGTGAAGCAAACCCAAACTCAAAAAGATTCCTGAAGTGACCCCACAGAAGAGAGTCCTGGGGAATCTGTGAGTTTACAGCACACAGGTCTGTGGGGGGCGGCACGGGAGGCTGTCAGGCTGCCCACCGGCGGCAGGAAAAGCCCAGCTATGCTCAGCCCTGCACTCAGCAGCCTGGACCTTGTGCGTAAATACAATCGGAAACCAGGAACAGCAGCATGCACTCGGAGTCCCGCACAAACAGGCACGCTGTGCCCCAAGTGCACAGATCTGTGCGTGTTCACAGAGAAGCCCAACGGAGCCCTGAGGCAAGGGTGCCGGATGACAGAAGGACTTAGTCACACCTGCAAATTCAGTGTCAGAATTAAACTACATTTCCACATACCAGCAACAGTGGGGGCATTTAATTCCAAAAAGGCCAATTAGAATAGCAGCAAAACGTATAAAGTAATTAGAAATAAATCCAAGCAGAACTTGTGTAAAGCCTGCATGGATGTAAGTTTGAAGACCTGAGCAGGAGCTAAGCGAGAG